TCTACCTAAGAATACATGTAATTAGGGTTCATCTGGAATTTACTACTGTCATTATAGTGTGTGTGGTTATTAAATAGAAGGCATCTACATAAGAGTAAATATGAAGAATGTCTCAGTGAAACAAAGACAACAGAGAGAGCAGTGAATTCTGTGAAAGGGCAAGTGTTTGTAGATTGGAGAAAATAAAGAGACTAGAAACCAGAAATGATAAGAAAGAAATGGTATTTATATAGTCAACTCTGGTCCCCTGGGTCCCTGAGGCCAATGAAGGATGATAAACAGGACTAAACCTCATGGTCGGACTCAAACACTCCTCTCCTTCCTTTCTTCTCTACTAGTTATCATTTGTTAATATAAAGATTTATTTTGTTTGTTAATTATGTGTATGTATGTATGTCTGCATGTGGGTATGTGCACATGGGTGCAGGTGCACACAGAGGCCAGAAGAGGGTGTGAGATCCCCTGGACCTGGAGCTCAAGTCCTCTGAAAGAGCAGCAAGCACTCTTTACCACTGAGCCATTATACCAGCCCTGCCCCTAATCTTTATCTAGGCTTGAAACACCACCAGAAGCAGCACCTTCAGAACCAGGCTCAAGGAGTGGTTATTTCATCCAGGGATTCTAAAATGTGATTCCCACACTCTCAGCAGAATTGCCACTGTGACTATGAGACATAAAGTGTCACATTCCCATGCTGAGCTTCTTAAAGCAGAATTTCCTTAGGCATGGGGCTCCAGAAGGTACTAATGCTAAAACACCTATGTGAAGAAGGTACACAAACCCCTCCTGTCTGCCCCCGTGTCCCAACCAACAATTCCTGCAAGAAACCCTTTGCTGTTCATCTCGGCACTTGATAATCTCAATTCTGGTACAGACTTAGTTTGAGGGTGACTCTACATGGGCTCCAAGAGCTCTACCATTCCTTTTGCCCACAACAGCCATTATTTACAGGTACATTCTCTCTCCACTTATACTTGCTGTGGTGGTTAGTTTTAAATATCACCTTGATACAACCTAGACTCACCAGGTAGAAATCCCTGAATGAAGTATTGCTTAGATCAGCTTGGCCTATGGGCGTGTCTGTGGGGGATTATTTTGATTGTTAATACAGGTGGAAAGACCCACCCTGGATGTAGACAGCATCATTTCCTGGGCTGGACCCTGAACTGTTTAAGAGTGAACAAAGTTGGCTGAGCATAGGAAGAGCAAGCTGTAGCAATGGGCACATAGATTTCTCTCTGCTCTTGACTATGGATATGCTGTGACCAGCTGTCTCTAGAGCTCCTGCTTCTATGACATCCCTTCAATGATGGACTGTGACCTGGAATGGCAAGCTGAATAAACCCTTCCTCTCCTTTGTTCCTTGTTGTCAGGGAGCTTCACCACTGCACCCATAATGAACATGGAACACATCTCATGCCACATCTGTGTTCTGTCCACCACCCAAATGAACTACCAGATCTTTGATTCTGGTCTACTTCTTTGAAACCCAAGTCAAGATACCTATAGAATCCACCTAGTACCTGGCGTGTACCAGAGCTCTTTGCTATCTTCTGCAGAGCTAGAGTTCTAGCTGAGAACATCTGGCTTTCCAATCATCTCCTCTAGCTGGGCTTTGTGGCTACTCCATCATGGAATCACCAGGGAGTCATCTCTTCCCACAGTCATCTAGTTCTGTGTGTCATCAAGAGCCACTTTCCAAGGGATACCTGCCTGCCCTTCCGAAGCTCTACCAGGCTCCCACCTCCCCTCAGGGTGTCCTAGTTTCATTGCCTGTTGCCTGACAAAAGCAACTTGGGTGAGAGAGTGTTTATTTCAGCTCACTATTTCAGGATACAGCCCACCACCATGGAGAAGCCAAGACAGGAGCTTGAAGCATCACATTGCAGTCAGGAGCAGGCAGACTGTATACATTCTGGTGCTCAGATCCCCAGAAAGATGCTGCTCACAGCACAAGGGTCTTCCCACACTGATGAAAGCATCAAGACACACATACCCCAGACATACCCACAGGTCAACCTCATCCAGACAATCCTCACTGAGACTCTTTTCTCAGGTGACTCTAGCTTGTGTCAAGCTGACATGACTCGCTGAGGGATGACTACTGTCTGCACCCTGTAAACCCCAACCCTGCACGGTCCAGCTGTACAAGATACAGTGGTATCATACACGAATGATTGCTGCCATGGGCAGTGAGGTGCCTGTATCACACACAGCAAGAAGTCAAGCAAAGGCTTCTTTAGGGAAGTAACAGATTGGGATACTGGGGACAATGGGGCCATTAGTCATTAAATGTTGGGGGAGGGTGAAAGGGGATGTGCAAACAGAGGTCCCTTGTCAGGGGACAATACTATACTAAAACATGAGGTCTGCAATGAGTGTACAGGAACCTCCAGTGAAGAATCACACTAGGGAGAGATTTTGCTAGTAGGTTGTGAGATTCCCAGGAAGTGAAGGAAACTCTTCCTCTTAACACAAAGTCAGGCTTACAAGGTCTATATAATGGAATGGTCCATGGTAAAGGAGAAGAGCAGGGGATTCTAAATGTGGCTCAGTTGGCAGAGTGCCTACCAAGCATGAATGAAGCCCCAGGTTCCATCCCCAGCACAGATAAACTGGTTACACCTGCATATGCCTGTCATCCTAAGACTTGGGAAGCAGAAGCAGGAGGATCAGGAGTTCAAGGTCATCCTTGGCTATATAGATAGTTTGAGGCAAGCCTAGGCTACATGAGACCTTGTCAAGAAAGAGAGGGAGGGAGAGTGAGAGGAAAGGATAAAGGGAGGAACATAATAGTACTAAAATCTTTTCAGTGACAAATTCTTATACACTGACTGATGACCCAGAGAAGACAGGTTACTGGACCCAGGAGCACTATTCTCTATTTGAGGATCAACCAGCAATTCTGAAGAGTCCTTGAGGGAAGCCCCCACCTCTAGGATAATCCAGACTTGGTCTCCTGGAGATCAGGCTACAAAAAAGACCAAAGTGAGCTCATCTTCTTTCCAGGGGTAATCCTTCTACTCAGCCTGCTCAGCACAAGAGGCTTAGGTACCCCTAATCCTATGAACATTTGGGAGATTAGCCTCCTGTGCCTTCAGCAGACTCACTCACTCTGCGGTTGTCATTTCTGTCCTGAGCTCAGACGGATTTCTCCCTGTGGTGAGCACAGTGAATTTTGTACATTGTGAGCAGCTACAAAAGCATGATTATCAGTGTCTACCTCTACACACCTGGCCAATGTACTTTTGTCTGATGCTGTATGCAGACATCCTAGGAGTTTTGTAATCATCCCACAGTACTTGCTTGCTTTCTATTTTAACAGACCCATTGTCTTCAGGTATGCTGAATTCAAAAGACCAACTGACACAGTTTCACCTGCCAAAAATGTGTTCCTAACTCTGTGTGTGTGTGTGTGTGTGTGTGTGTGTGTGTGTGTGTGTGTGTGTGTGTGTGTGTGTTTGTGGTGTG